CTGTGCAGTGATCGGCAGAGCGGACACCTTCGCCAAGTCGTAACACTCCTGAATGCATGATGTGATCCACTACAAGATACGCTGTGAGGAGACAGGGAGGCCTTTCAGTCTATTGGCCGGTGCCACGAATAACTGGACGGATTTTCGGAACGGCTTTGTTCTCTCAATGTAGAAGGCTAGCGCCCTATGGACATCCAATGAGTGAAGCCTCTTCTCCCTGCTGCTGGAATGCGGCTTAGGATAGAATGCTGGGAAGATGATGTCCTGGTCGATGTGAAACTGGGCGATGACCTTTGGGAGAAAGGCCGGGTGAGATCTGAGCTGAACCTTGTCCTTATGGAATACAGTGCAAGGAGGCTCTGAGGTAAGGGCTCTGAGCTCCGACACTCTCCTAGCTGAGGTTATCACCACCAGAAATGCCACTTTGTAAGAGAGATAAAACAGGGAGCACGTCGCCAGTGGTTCAAATGGTGGTCCCTTAAGTCTGGAAAGGACTAGATTGAGATCCCAAGCCGGGATAGGCTGTCGTACTTGCAGGAATAGTCTGTCGAGACCTTTAAGAAAATGGCTGACCATTGGATTCGCGAAGACTGAGTAGCCGTCTGTGCCTGGATGGAAGGCGGAGATGGCTGCCAAGTGAACTCTTATTGACTTCATGGACAGTGCCTGTTGCTTAAGATGGAGGAGGTAGTCCAGTATAAATGGCACCGAGGCAAGCACTGGAGACTGATGGTGCTGCTCCGACTAGACGGAGAACCTCTTCCACTTGGGCAGGTACATCGCCCTTGTGGAGGGCTTTCTATTGCCAAGGAGAACTTGTCTCACTTGATCAGAGCAGGACAGCTCCACCACGTTCAGCCATGGAGCTTCCACTCTGTGAGGTGGAGCAACTTGAAGTTCAGGTGTTGGAGGCGGCCGTGATCCTGCATGATTAGGTCAGGGATGAGTGGTAGGGGGAACGAAGGATACCGAGGACACTGACGCCGACCTGGACCTTCGACCCTGGATCTGGCGATACGCCCAGGATGCCCAAAAGGGCCACTGCGTCAAAGGCTGCCACTGCGGAGGCCACAGTGCCGGGTAGGGCTGGTGGTCGCGGCGGGATCTGGACCTCCTGCTCCTGGTCCTATTGGAGCAATAGGATTCCATCTCCGACTCTGAGGTCTCTGAGTAGGTGAACCACGGAGGAGCGGTACTCTGGGCTGCCAGAGAACGGTGCCGAGAGGTCGGGGACCGGTGTGGCTCCCCTGCGTGGGTGGGCCGTGCCAGGGAGAGGTTCGCCGGAGATGGGGATCGGCGTGCCATCATCGCTGGTTTGCCCCTTGATTGGAGCTGGGACCGTGCAGTTACCAGTGACTTGTCTCTCTTCTGTGGGGAGGATGGCGCCGTGAGGCATATAAGGTCTTTGGCTGCCTCAAATGCCTCAGGTGTCAAGGGGAGCTGGAGGTGATCACCTTGGTGGTCCGTGCACCATTGAGGGTTTGGACTCAATTGAACCCCAGACGGGGCAGGAATCAACGAGACCCTGAAGGGCTGGAAAGACGAGGCGGCCTGGCTCGAGATGTGCTTCGATCCCGTAGGTCCCTTGATCTTTAGAGGGGGAGAGCGACCCCTATCTGGCCTTTTCTTCTTTTGTAGTATCGGGGACTGAGAACGGTGCCGGACAGAAGAGGGTTACTTATGGGCAGAGCCGTGAATCCTTAGGGTCCTTCCTTGGCACTGGCTCACGCACCATTAGCGCTGGAGCACTGTGAACCGACGAGGAAGTGCTCTGTGTAAGTTCTGCGGTCCCCAGGTCGGATTGCTTCCATTAGTAGGATCTTGAGCCTTTGATCCTAGTCTTAAAGGGTCCTAGGGCGAAATACCTTGCAGATCCTGCACTTGTCCTTTTGTTGGCAATCACCAAGGCACCGTAGACAAGAAAAGTGCGGTCACTCTTCGGCATAAACTTGCCACAATCCTCGCAGAGTCTGAACCCTGGCGACCGGGGCATAACCCAGAACCGGGGAAAACGTTGTGGCGGGGGAACCCCCAAGAATCACAACAGCTATGACTAATAACTAATGAACTGTTTACAACTATTTAACAATGAAGACTGAAGTGGACACTGCCAAAAGCGCTTGCAATGCAAGAGCAACAGTTGTTCCAGCTAGCCGTCACCGACGGTAAGAAGGAACTGAGGGGGTGAGGGGTCGGGAGGGCCCTATATTGGGCGCCATGAAGGCGCAACTCCAGGGGGCGCCCAGGCCGACCCTAAGGGAAAAATATTCCGGCTGTCGTGCATGTAGCACGCACACACACCTGATTGGAATGGTCATGAACAAGCACTCGAAAAAGAACTTCTCTTCAGTGATAACAAGAACTAGTTCCAGGATGGAGAAAAGCGCACAGAGTACTCCTCTTCTGTTGAATGTGAAACTGAGACAGAGACTGGGGAATAAAAGAGAGTCTCTATTTCTTATACTCCTGAGGGCATTCTGCGCCAAAAAAATTAAAATTCTGCACACATTTTAAAATTCTACAATTTGTCAATAAATAAATGCAGAGGTTCCAGCATGGCAGTGAGGAGCAAGGCCACTGGCTGCATGAAGGTGCAAGATCACCCTGCAGCCCCCCCAGCCTCAGGACACGGACTCAGTGGTGAAGCTGCATCCGACCCCGAAACAGTACAAGGCCTGGGCCTGCCCCAGAAACACCCTCGGGCCCTGGACCTCTGCAGCAGGTGTGAGCAGGGAGGCTTAACCAGGCAGGATCCAAGTGTGAAGGGGATCAGTATGGGGGGATCCAGGTGTGGGGTGAGAGGATTGTGTGTGGGACAATCTGGGTGCAGTTAGCTCAGTTGGGGCCATAGGTGTGGTGGGATCTGGAAGCACGGAGGCTCGTGGGGGTGAAAGGGGGGGGTGTTCCAGGTGCAGGGGCAATAGGACTCTGCAGGGGCTTCCAAGTGAAGGTGGTTGGGGCTCAGCGGAGGGCTCTGGGTATCTCAGCAGGGGCGTCTGGGTGCAGCTAGTTAGGGGTCATTGGCGTGGGGGTCTGGATGTCGGGCGCAGGGTGGTGCAGGAGCTGGGGCATCAGGGTGGGGGTTTGAGTGTAGGGAGCTCACTGGGGGGTATCTGGGTGCAGGGGTAGGGGTCCGGAGACGGGGGGCTGGGTGAAGGGGGGTTCTGGATGCAGGAGCTGAGGTTCACTGGCGTGGGGTTCGGGTATGGAGGGCGAGGGGGATTCTGGATGTACCGGGTGAGGATTGGCAGGGGTGTCTAAGTATGGGAGGTCTGGATGCATGGGGGTTGGGTCGATGGTGGAGTAGCTGTACAGTGACCTCTCCCCACACAGCGGAGGAGCGATGGGGGGAGGCAGCAGAGGAGGAGGCTGAGCTTCCTACAGCTGCGAGAGGTTTCTGGGGGTAGGTCTGACACAGCCCCAGCCACTCCTTGCAGGGGAAGAGGAAGTCCCATCCTCTCCTGCCTCCAGCCCAGCCAGGATGAGCAGCTGGTCCTGGCTCAGGGTAAGAGCCACTGACTGGGGTGTCCTCAGACCCACAGTGATTTACCTCTCCGCCGGCTGCTCTGGGTGCCTGAAATGATGTACCTACGCTGCTCGGGAGCTTGCAGCTTCCCTTTGCTTCCCTGTTAGAAAGTCATTTTCTGCGGGGAAGCAAAGAAATCTGTGGGAGATATGAATTCTGCACAAGCACAGTGGTGCATAATTCCCTCAGGAGTAGTTCTTAGAAAAGAAAAGGACTCTATGGACTGATGGTGCCATATCTTCTTCTCTCAATCTCTTGACATAAAAAAATAACATTGTGGAACTGAGGCCAAAGCCTTGTCTGGTCTACTAGATGTTTCTGATACTCTCTCAGCACTGGGTTTCTGAAAAACCCAAGATTGTATCTTTGAAGAAATGCCTGAAGGTGGTTGTGAGTCTGCCTTGGAAGCTGTAGGTTGTTCTCCATAAGCATGGATTACAGATGAAATTCCATGCCCAGGTTGTAACTTTATGCAGATGTGGCACAGGCTAGGTAAATGCCCCTTACCAAAACCTCTAGATCCACGGATATGGAGGTCAGAGACTAGGAAATAAACTGTGAAGTAGGCATTCTTTAAACTTAGTCTTTTTTGTTTTCTTCCAGGAACCCCTCTTCCTATAACGATGACGAACCCAAAGTAGTTCCCAACTAAGAAAATCAACAATTTTTTTTAAAACAAACCATGTTAAACCTATCCTAATAACTATTAAGAAAATTAACTATCCTACTACAAGAAAAAACAGATAAGATGGTCAACAATCTAGAGATGGAGAGACCCATCACATCACTGGTTCCTTCTAGCGGTGGGAGCAACATGTACCTCTGTCTCTCAAGGTCCAAGCTTTCCACTGAGCTTTGGTGCTCTGCACAGGCCCACTCTACAGGAATGGGGACTTGTATGGACAATACTCAAACATGCGATTTTAGCTTAAAACATAGTTCAATTTTAAAAATGACCTTGATATAAGAAATGAAATTAAGCAAGCACTTAATACATTCATCAGTTTTGACATTTAAAACTACAAAAACCTTTTGTAACAGATGCAAGACCTTGGAAGTATGGAAATTGCAGAACACTATTGTACGGAGATGAGTCAAACTGCCCCAGTCAAACTTTTGTATCTGCAAATGTTATCTGAATCTTTGTGAGCTGGGAATTGTATTCCGGGCTATCTCTGGAGCAGGTGAGGGGCTGCTCCAGGGCTCCCAGCCGGGCTGTGTTCAGGATCCTTGAAGGGTTCTAAATCAACTCCTGGGACCATTCACTGATGGGCTGCTGAAATGGAACAGCTGTCACCCAATATTACAAAATTATGGAGTCATAACAAAGCCCAGAGTTTGCTCAAATTAAAGTGCAGGTGTGGAAAGCAGCAGTATATGCAATACAGTAAAATAAGAAATCTCTTACATGACTGAGCTAATTTCCTTAAAACATTATGATCCATATTACAACTGCCATCATGGTAGTACTTACATAAATATTCTTCATATCCGCCACCTGGCACCTCACTGTATAGAACTCTTCAGCAGTCTGACTGACATGCTCACAGTCCTCAATGAAAATAGCAAAACAGAAAAGTGGTAAAGGAAAGTCAATAAATTATTCTGATACATTAAAATGGATATTCTAATCTTAGAATGAAGTGGGCAGGAAAGAAAGTGATACTTACCAAAGAAACAACATTGTTTGTAATGACCCCTCCAAATAAACTTTTCACTGTATTTTTCTGTGAATAAATGAACGAATTCTGTCAACAAAGCTTGAGCAAATCTATAGCTTTAAGAGCCCCCTTTTGTAGCATGCTTTAAGAACTCACCAATTCTGGAGACATTTCCTCAATTTTTGTTATCAGATCAGTGAAGAATTCTGTCATGTCTTTTTGCTCTCCAGTGTTAAGTGGTTGCTTATCCATGGTGTAGGTTTTACAGAAAGGCCTTGGATTGTATGCCTTGCATTCACTTTCCTTTTGGGGGGGAAAAGGCAAAAAAAAAATTATATATGAAAAAAACAACTTTAAAATAAAATGTATATAAAAACATGAATACAGTTATTATAAAAAATATACAAATATATGTATTTAAAAATAAATGTATAAAAATATATCAAGAATACTGTTTGGTAGGTGGTGGAATATAATAAAGGAAAATTTAAATGCTTCTGAAAAAATTAACTACCAAACTGTTTCAAAATCACTAGCAGAATACAGGTGTAGCATTAATATTACAAATAAATACTTATTAAAAGTCAAATAAAAGCATTTCAATAGAGATTTGACGATTCAGTCATTCTTCTCCATGGGCAAACAATGTATCATATAGTTCACTGGTTCAGAATTGTTTGACAGACATCTACGTTAATGTTATTTTGATCAGAGTTAAGGATCTGCATTATATATAATGTGATTGTGAAGATTGTGTTGCATATGGTATTACTATGTATGTTGGAGGTCTGGGGATTTAATTATAGCAAAGAGGAGTTTTGTCAGTGAAAGTGGTAAAAATAATGTGGGAGGGTTAAAGGTATGTTAAAGGAAAGATGCCTTAACTGGATATTTCTGCTTTTTAGAAACCAATTTAGGAGCATCTAACCTTTAACCTCCAGGATCACATGAGGTAGGAGGGTCCCAGGCTCCAGCTCAAGCCCAAACGTCTACACCATAATTATACAGCCCACAGCCTAGGCCAGCTGCAAGTATTTAATTACCCTCAGAACCCCTACAGGGTATATGTAGAGCATGCGCATTAGAGCTGAGGCACAATGCTTCAAGGAGCCTCATCTTAGATGGTATACATCAGCACTGCGCTTTAATGCAAGGTTGCTTAGTACCACAATTGTGCTCTTAGTGTTAAAATTTTCTTAACTGTAAACATACAATTAAATATACAACTTTTCTCTACTGCCTATTCAACATATTGGGTACAAATACATTTATGATGCCATAAACTTACAAAAACATAGGGGACATTCATGCTGGGAGCTGGGGGTGTGATTCCCAGCTTGAGGAGACAGACTCGCGCTAGCTAGCATGCTAGAAATAGAATATAACTGCAGCAATATGATCTGTGGCGGTGGCTAGCCACCCCGAGTACATGACCATGTAAGATCCTAGGCATCTACTCAGGAAGGCTATCCCACTCTGCCGCTTATGCCATAGCTACATTTTATTTTTAGCATACTAGCTTACTAGAGCTAGCACAAGTCTGTGTCTTCAAGCTGGAAACCACACTCTAAGCTCCAAGTGTAGACATACTCATACAGAGAATTAATTTTTCTTCTTCTCCTTCTTCCCTTCCTCCCTCCTCCCCCATTAAGTGCTTCTTAGAACCTACCATTAAATATGTAAACATTTTCTGAAGTTCTAGTAGAGTGGTCTTGTGCTTCATGTCCTCTGAATACTAAAAAAAGATACATAAAATAGGATTACAACTTTTTCTAATTTTTTTGCTTGGAAATTTCCCCAAAAATCGGCACTGAAAAGTTATAGAACAATTAGCCCAATTATTGCATTTCTTTTTACAAAAAATATTTTAATGGTATTTTATTTTAGTATAAATGACACAGTCATAATGATCATATATATTTACATGCATACGCATGCAAGCACACACAATGTGTGTGTGTATCTATTCCTTTTTTTTTTTTAACCTAATGTACAACAACCTCATTTTCTGCATTTTAGCACATTATTTCACCGGAAACCTAGATTGTTTTCTGATAAATGGAGTTTACACAATGGTTAGTATTTTCTAAAAATTCACCCCTGGATCCCAATGTATCACTCCAGTCCTCATTGAAATAAAAACAAAAAAACCTAGTATTCCTAAATTAGGGACCACTACTTTCTTTCATTCAGTAATGACATAAAGGTAGGTGGCTCCCAATGGGTGACTCCAGGATGGTGCTCTAATGGGCTGGAGTTCTTAAAGACCTTATCCACTAATTACTAGTGTTCTGGTGAGTGGCGAAGGAGCTTCCTCAGTTTCCAGCAGGGCAATCCTGGCTGAACTGTGGTTAGGTGGAATAGCAGCTGACAACAGTGGCTCAGAGGAGGTCCTTCATCAACACTGATCAGAAAGGAACTAGAAGTTAGGGCCATAGATGCCATCCACATCCTATTATTCAGGGAGCAGAGTGCAATGTTCACTGTTGCAACCAACGGGCTCACAACTTTAATCTATTAAGAGTATTTTTTCAATATTTATTTATGTTAGCACCCACTTTGTGTATATTTATTTATGCTAGCACCCACTTTGTGTAGGACACTTTCCAAACATTCAAGAAAGATAGTATGTGCTCACAATTTAAGGACAAATGGAGCTCACAATTTAAGGACAAATAAGTAAAAAGAAGTAAGGGAAACAGGAATGATAGGCAGTTTATATACAATTTACATAAAAGTCTATTTAATTCACAATAATCTATGGTGTTGCATGCTAGCAGCATGGATTTAAGAGTGGGGATTTATCACAATTGTGCTCTAAAGAACTATCATATTTTGTATTACAAATATTTAGAAAAAAACACACCTCTTTCCACCTTAGCCATTAACAAAAAATATCATTATTTGATCATAATGAAATAATTAATAATAGTCTGCATATGTTTATAAATGGAACACTAGTTAAAAATAAAACATGAAATCATACCTTAGCAGTAAAAATGGCTTGTCTAGCCTCTGGTATCATATACAGCTGCTGAATAGTGGATGCCAAGTAACAAGTTGCTCCAAGATTAGTTAGACCAACAAATCTGCATTCAGCTCGAACATCATCATGTGGCCAATAATCCCATTTGTAAGGTGCATGGGAAGCTGGAAAAAGTATGAATTACAAAAATAAATCAACTCAAAGTAAATTTTTAAGAAGACAACAAAATACATAATTACAAAACATTATGCTTTTCATTAAAATATGTTTATATATTCTAGATTTACAGACATAATGAACCAGTTTGTGCCTGCACCTTGAGCATGTGCATGGGGGAACAGAATGAGCATAAACAGGCCCTCCCAAGAAGTCTGAAGCACAGCTGCAGTCCCCACACTCTCCTGAGTGCAGGACACGCTCTCTCCTAGGGTGTCTGCATTGCTGTCAGGAGATGTGATTTTACCGCATGTAGGTTTGCTAGCTTGCTAAGAATAGCAGTGAAGCTGTAGCAGCATGAGCTAGCCACTGAGTACATAGCTAGGTCCCAGGCAGGGTTGTACTCAGGTGGCTAGCCCGTGCCACACCCTAAGCTGCTACAGCTTAACTGCTAATTTTAATCAGCTAGGTTGCTCAAAGCTAGCTTGGAAAAGCTTAACATGTACTGCAATCATACCTCCTGACTGCAGTGTAGATATACCCCTATAGTGGCCCCAGTATGGCTAGCCAATCCGAAGGAGAAAGGCAATAGTAATGGTTCACACATCCTGCCCCATCTCCTTCACTGAGTACCAGAGCTATGTGGAGGTGCAGGAGAGAATGCCTGTTGCATCTTCTTTAAGACTGGTTTCAGAATAGCAGCCGTGTTAGTCTGTATCCGCAAAAAGAAGAACAGGAGTACTTGTGGCACCTTAGAGACTAAGACTGTTGCAAGAGATGTACTATTCATGTGCTCTGGGAGGCACTGTGACTCCTTACCAGCAGAGTGTCTCAAGGTTTGTCTGCACAGGGATAAAAAACCCGAAGCTGAGCTGGGTCAGCTGGCTCGGGCTTGCAGTGCTTGGGCATCTGGCCCCAGCTTGAACCCAAATGTTTATACAGCAATTTTTTGCCAAGCACCCTGAGCCCCGTGAGTCCAAATCAGCTGACCTCAGTCAGCCACAGTTATGCCGCATGGCTTTTATCCTCCTGTAGATGTACACTTAGAGCTCTACCTCTGGTAATATGGCTCTGACAGCCCCCCAGACTGTGTCTTAAAGCCACAATCTGGCCCAAAATAGTACACAAAACAGCTTTCCATCAGTAACAAAGGCATTCATACATTATAATTATATATGTTAAGAGTCTCTCAGGCATAGCAAAGTACTTTCAAAATATTATTCACTTCTCTTATAGAAATGTATTTCTGGAAAGTTACAGATATTAAGAGAGTCTGTTTTGTATGACGAGTTCATAGTGACAGAAAATTTTCAGCAGGCCTCTGAAATGAACTTAGGAAATCTGCAAGTGTACCCATTTGTGCAGGCAAACAGATGTGCTTCAAAATGCCAACTTTGGCACACACAAACTGATGTGCTTGCAAATACTGCGTGTGCATCTTGGAGCCATGCTGAAAGGTGGCACTACTAGTATCCTCACAAATATAAAAAGGCAAGCACCAAATGTAACATAATTGTGAAATGTTGCCTTTCCTATTTATGACAAAAAAAATGTGTGATAAAATATAAAAAATGGGGGGCATATTATAAAAATAAGGATCTCAGTCTAATTCAATTTCTTAAATTGGGTGTTTTGGCCCTGACTGCCTCTAACTCCTATCATTTATTGATGCCTCAGCTATACTTTCTGGAAACAGCACATCTTATTTGTCTGACAGGAAGTGCAGTCTTTGATATACTGTAGGATATACTTCCTTTGCCTTGCCTTCTCTGTCTTCTTTTTCTTCTCTCCCTCCATCCTTACTGCCTTCCTCCTTCCCTTTCTCCATTTAAAATTCTCCTTCCTTCCCGTTCTCTCGCTTTCTCTAAACATGCCCAGTATTAGCTATTAGCTTAACTAGTTGGCAGTAAAAAAGATGCCAGTTGTTTACCACCTAGTCCTCTCCTCACACACAGACACTCTCACTCACACATATTAGCCACGCCCAAACTCAAACCACTCTCACAAACACCAGCTACTTGTACTTTCCAACATACACACCAGTCATTCACACACAGCTTCATGTCACACTGAGTCTGCACCCAGAGGCTCCTACTATGGATTCTTCTTGATGTGACAAAGCAATGAACCTGTCCATGATTTATATTTGTTATAGAGTAAATGTAATGTTAAGAATGAATTACTGAATTACATAAATCCCACATCTTGAAAAGAAGGCTTAGCTGGTTACAGAGTGACATCAAATGCCAAGATAATAAACATACCAAGCATGATCACTAAGGCAAGTGCAAAAGGTAGCCAGTCTTTAAGGGTAGGAACCTTACTGGAGATAAGATGCAAAGATGGAAAAGAAAAACAGAAACAATCTATTTATCCACAATGCTGAATACAAACTTGAATGAATTTCGTGACAGATCCAGGGGAATACCACTTTCTTTTTTCTTTTTTGTAGACAGTGGGGGAGTTTCTGCTATAGTAAAGCCAGACACACCAAAGAAATTTAAAAGCTGCAATGGAACTACAGGAAGGAGAACCAAAGGGGATGTGGTGAGTGACCTAAAGGGTCAGAGAGAAGAGACAGAGAAAGCACTTTCTGTGATGTTGTTAATTTTCTACGTCTAATCCAAGATGTGCCTATACAGTGTAAAACTAGAGAAATTATGCATACTGTTTATATTGTTTTAATCTGATAGTCTCTCTCTCTTCTTAACATATCTTGTTCTGTGATATGGCTGCCAACAGTCTGGATGAACAAGTGGTAGCCAGTCCACACACAAGATTTTTACATCTAGTGTATTCTTTGTTTCCTAGCTTGCCAACAGGCTTTCTGCAGTTGCTCTCCGACCTTGCCTTTCTGGCCGACATGCCATCTTTCTTCCAGGCCACTGCAGAGCTCTGGAATAACATGCAGCAAAGAAGGATAAAGATGACTGCATCCCCAAAAAGCTTTAGTGGAAAAAAAAGGCTAAAAATGCACCTCTGGAGTGTCTTGACAAATTTTAGCAGCAGGTGCATTCTGCCCATTTGCCCAAAACCATGCCCCTCCACAGTCTGGCTTGGAACTGCCCCCAGCTATGGCCAAGCAGTGACTGGCAGAATTCTAGACCACAGAACTGGGTTTTACTTCAGCAGCCACCCTGGAAAATGAGGACATGCAGAACAGCTTTCAAGTACAACTGGGTACCCAAAAACAGGAGCCTCCAGGAGTTCCTGGCCTCAGACTGGGGTCACAAGATAACATGCTGGAGAGAAAAGACGATCAAATCTCTCGTAACACCCTTTTTATCACAATGGAATGCTCTTTATCTCATCAGTCATTACCTGAATAAATACAGCCTTTGCTGACTCCATACTCTCCCCAACAAAGAATCTTTCCTCCCTTCCAAAAAACACCCCCAAAACTTCTCAAAAGAGCTCACCCTCCCCAGCAAACGTATTTTCTGTCCCTTTCCCTATCACAAGGAACCTCTTCTCTGCCACTAAGGGGAGGAAAAGTCTCATCTTTCATTTCCATTCCCTCTCAGGCAGGAAGTCTCCCAAAGAGCATGAGCTGGGATCAGACCAGCAGGATCAATCCACTGTGACAGGGTCCCTTTCACTCCAGATAACTACAAGAGGGTCACTTCAGGCGAATGGAGTTACTTGGTGTCCCACATGAGAAACACCTTGGAAATCTCTCTGGTGGAACTCCCTCTTCAAAAGATATAGCAAGGTTCCCTATTTTCCTCCAAGTCAACCCCACAGAGTTGAATCTTTCCACAAGCTGTTGTGAAGCTGGTAGAAACAAAGTGTGCGTCTCCTGATTCTATTCCCAAGCTGCCCAAATACTGCTTTAGGTTCTATGAGATGAACCCTGATTTCTGCAGTGTCTGGTTGTCTCACACCACAGCTAATCATTCTAGGTGCCCAGATCTGCTTCCACACATTAACATGTCCCTTCACAACCCCCCGGGAGAGGGAAGGCTATTAAATGATCATTTGAGCTAGGCAGCATTCAGATCAGTATCACAATCCTCTTGTACTTCTAGAGAACTAATCAAGTGGCTGACTGAGAGGGAGACAAAGGTTGTTTCCTCCAAGCTGCCCCCCTTGGTATGCAGGAAACTTGCAAGGGAGCTTATCTCTGTTTATGCAGCCAAAGACATGGCTCAATATTTTAACAGCTTAGGGGCCAATTTAGGGGCATCTAACCTTCGACCTCGTCCCATAGGGGCCTAAGACAAGGCAGAATGTCCTGCAAACTATTAATCATCCCTACCAGGCCACATGCCCAGATCCCAAAGTCAAGAAAAGGAAAAAGGGGTCTTACTCTAGGTACTTCATAGGCCACAGAAGCTGAGAAGATCCAAGATCTAAAATGAATTGTTTTGTCAAATACCACAAATACAATATGGATTCTCTCCACTCAAGGCTATCAGCTGTAGATTTCAGATAACTATCTGGCACCCACCGAAATTGAGAACTCAGATCCTCATATTCCAGATCAATCAGAGGTTCCGCTGTAGGCCATTTGCACTTCCAATTTAAAACTCTAATCTTCAGAAAGCATCATGATTGTCACTCAGGACTAGGATCTGGGCCCAAGGTTCCAGAAAACCTCAGTAGCAGTACACATGATCTGACAGCATTTAGTTACCTTGGTCTGGTGGAAAATGAAAACATGGCTCTCCTCCCCAGAAACTGCTGCCTCTTAGGAGCCATAATTAATACGGAAGACGCACAGGTAATTCCCTCCCCCCGATTAAACTCCTCCATCTCAAGGCCCCAATTCATCCTTTTGAGTCCAGGGAGTCAGCAGCTATCCAGTCGTACATGGCCTGGCTGGAGGCCCATCATACTGTGAAGACCTGATGGAATGGGCCAAGTTCCCTTCTCAATGTCTCCTTGAATATATGTTAGCATCCAACCTCACTCCCCAAGAGAGGAAAACTTGGAACATCTAATTTCTTCCCTTCAAGCAATGAAAGGTTCTCTTATTTGGTGATAGGAAAGCAGAGTTTTCTCACCATGAAGAGATTCCCACTACAGGACAATTGGAGTCCTCAGTTAACCAGAGATGTGCAGCTTCCACAAATAAGGGTTCTTCACAGTAGGTCCAAGGATTGTGGTCTTCACAGGAATGAAAACCCCACTTCAACATCCTGGAACTTAGGGTCATCAGGTTGGTTCTCATGTTCCTGGAGATCCTCCTTTCAGCCATGTCTCAATCAGGTTAGACAGAATAGCTGAAGTGGCCTCCCTGAATGATCAAGGAAGGCTTCCGAGTATTCCCCTCCAAAGAGAGTCCCTATTACACAGGGAAAAGAAAGACTGGGATCCCTCAAAGTCCTACAAGAATCTGGCCATCTGAATGATCAAGGTTATTGGCTGAGCTGCAAGGAAATCTATCCAAGGAAATAGTCCCGCTATTAGGAAAACTGCTCTCTGTTTCCAGCCTCCCTCGATTAACTTCTTGCTGGGAGAAGGAAGGGTTCTTGAGCTTTGGATAGGGATAGGTAGTTTACTCTCCTCATCTTTTCCCATAATGTAGTTCTGGAGAAAATAGGCAGGCAGGACTCAGTGCCATCCAATTCCCCTAGACTCAAAGTAGCCAAGATGAGTCTTTTCCATAGAGTTCCTTAAGCTGTACCGAGACAGCGTTTGCCAACCAGAAAAATAAGATATCCTATAACAGGGCCAACCGTCCACCATGATCCCATCGCCCTCCATTTCAAGAACTGCCTCACTGATGCTCTCTCACCTCAAAGCCAGGAATGTCTAATCAGTCCTTGCTGAAAGAGGAGTCTTTCTTCACTTACTATCTTTTTCCTTTTGGTGCAGATATCATCAACTCTTGGCTTTGAGATTCACTACCCCTTCCATTCTACATTACTTTCAGGATGGGTCTGACAAAGGGCTCTCTGCATGCTCCTTAGTGTCCGGGCTTCAGGGATTCCATAGGAGATCTCCCAGTGGGATCCAACTTCACATCAGGGTTTTTTAAAGCAGTTTCTTACCTGAGCCTGGTAAGACTCTTGTTCGCTCTTGGAACCTAAACTTGGTGCTAGATGCTATAAATTCATCCTCATCAGTCTCTCTCTCTTTCTCTCTCTCAGTTATAGAAAGTGGTCTTTCTAGTGGCCATCCCTTAGGTAGGAGAGCTGAGGAAATTACAGATATTGCTCATGATCCCCCATATATCATTTTACAGAAAGAAAAAGCAGTTTTTTGGAGATCTTACTCCCCAACTTTGGGTCTTGAGACTGGAGCTGAAGTCATCCAGTGGCATTTCCTGGATATCCACCAAACACTTATGCTCTGCTTTTCCTGAACATTCGCTCACAGTAATATTGCCATATTAACAATTAGTGAGGTAAAAGAAATAGGGTTTAACCTATACACTACCAAATTCACTCCACACACAATGGTGCATCACGCCTTTTTGTTCCCTCACAGTACTAGATGCTTTAAATACCCAATGGAAACGAGGTACAGATTAACAGGAAAATATTTCAAAGATGATATGATTTGATAATGACATATACACTAAAAAACCCCACATAGTGCAGTCCAACCAGATGTTGAGTGGCTAAAGGATTTCTACAGTAGTACTTCCTCCGTTACTACCACCAGTGGAGCTGCACCAGTGATAATGACAATTGTAGAAAATTTTAAGAAAAATGCTAGGCCTTAGATTACTGTAATTATGCCAAGTTGCACCTACCCAGTTTGACACTTGCTGAGTGTAAGACCACCAGTTTTATTACACCGTTTCTTTTGTTTTAATCTGATTCTCTGTAGAGACTCTTAATAAATCCTTGAAGGGAAGACAACATTACATCTTCACATGAGAGGCAGTCAGGGAGAAAACAGTACCTATTCCAGGAGCACTTGGCGACCCCCTAGGAATTGCCATTAGCTTCAGTCAGTAGGGGACACAAGGAAATGTGGTAAAGAGACAAGAACAGGGGAAAATTCAGTGGCAGGATTAGATGACCAAAGGCTACATTTGGTGTAAAGATATAGGATCCCCCCTGTGAACCTCAAAAAATAAACAACTAAAACCAAAAAGATGGGAAAAATTGGTTTGTTTTGATTTGGTTTTTGGGGTGTGGAGAAACTCTAAGGAAGAGAGACAGGGAGACTTATGACCAGATTTTTTTTTTTTAAAGGAACAGCAGCTCAAAGCCAAGCAAAGAGATAAATTCCAATTTTAAGATGATTAGCAAGACCAGGATTGTATCAACGAATCAACAGAATTATAAGGAAAATAGGCACTGAAAGTGGGGCAGGGGATAAGCAACAGAGAATGGTGGCACCTCAGAAGGGGTTAACCAAACACAGTTGGTACCATTAGATAGTCCACTTTCCTAAGACTGGCAGCAATGCAAATGTGGACTTGCCAAGTGGACCAGATCTCTGTGGGGGACCTGAGCAGGAGACAGACAATCTAGAGAAGACTATGTTAGAGGAAAGCAACAATGAATGCAGTGTCCACAATTAATGGAGGAAATGCCCTGGGACAATATTAGTGGTTAGGATAATTGGAACCTGAAGTGGGAGAAACATCAACTGGAGCAAGAAAAAAGACTGCACCTGGAGAGAAACTGGCAGAGAGAGAAGGTCCACCAGCACAGGGAAAAGCGGCATGCTAAGTGTGAGAGTAAATGTCAGCGTGAAATGGACATCAAGGCCAGGATTGGAGGGGTGGGGGTGAGAGAGGAGGAGAAGATTAACATTAGGCTTCTATTTTTTGAGAATCTTGGCCTAAGAATCTAGATAACCAGTGTCTGAACTGTTCAGTTAAAACTGAGACAGAAACCACACATTCAGTTCCATATCCAATATAGATTACAAACTATTCCTAAAATATAGAGATGCGGACATTTTTGTTTTTTTTCAGAAGTCCTTAAGAAAGGGGCATATAATAGGAAGTCAACAATGGATAACATGAGGTTTCTAACTTCCTTTCTGAACTGTAAGGTACTGACAATGTAAACCTGGATATCGTGAATTATGGAAAAATTAAGACTGCCAGAGAAACCTGAACTGACATTTCGAGGCTCAGAGAAAGAAATTTTGGGGAGCTCAAAAGAGTGATAAGAATTATGATGAATTTGCAAATTAAACAAGGAAAATAACTAAAGAAATAGATAAACAGGAACAGGGTTTTCATTAGAGAGAAAGAGTTGGAACTAACAGGCATGAAATAATTTTATCAACATTGTTATTTAGATTTGTGAGCATGATTGGATATTGACACCCCAAAATGTTGCACAAGCTGGTAAGATAGCTAATCACTATGAAAACAGCCATGTGAAAACAGAGAAGAAAACCTAAGAAGGAATAGGCAAGCAACAGGGGCACAAAGCCTGAACCTGGCAGAGGAAGCCATTTTGATCATCCACAAGGAGCGCATTGGGAAGAGATGTTACATCTGCCAAAAAGATGACTGCCCCATTAGCCACCAGAGGTCACTTGCATCTCAGTCAGGGCAGCTTTCACCTATGAACAATAAAATAAACTGCATCAAGCATCTGCTTGATGAGGAAAGTCAGAGGCCATATCCAACAGAAAAGAATGAGATATATGCTATTAAATTCACTCCATAAACAATCTGTATATTTATTGCTTGTCTCCTAACAGGACCAGGTGCTCTAAATAACCAATGGAAATGGGGGGCTGAGGGGGGTGAGAGAGATAATAGATTTTATTAATGGGTAAATTGTTTCAAAGATAGCATTATTTATTTAAAAAATTATGTACATGCTGTTAAAGCCCCAACTGGTGCAAACCAGTCAGCTGCTTGGTGGGCAAAGTACATCTACACTAGCACTCCCTCCGTTACTATCACAACTAGAGCTGCACAAGTAGTAGTGCAATAGGGGAAAAGTTTAAGAAAAATGGTAGTGCTGATAAGGCCTTTCTTTACAATAACTTTTCTAAGATGTGCCTACCTATCTTAACTCTTGCCAACTATAAGACTAGATATGTTATGCATATTTTTTTGTTTTAATATGATTGTCTCTATATATTCTTAATACATCTTGTTTTTAACTCGATCATTTGGGTCTTAGATTGTTTAGAGGTAAAGTCACTCCAATATGGTCTAGGAAGGAAGGAAGTCTTATGATCACTTGTGAGAGACAGTTGAGTACCTACCCTGGAGCACCTCCCCGAGGGAATCCCTTAATGTATCAGTATCTATAGTATATAGGGGACTGAAGGTTATACTCCCCTCCTCATGGGGCAATGCATCAGAGTTAAGTGAAGGTTCTCTGCTCCCAAAAGGATCCATCAGGGATGGAAGTAATTCCCCACTGTGACACTGTGCCAGGCTGTCCCAGCATGAGAGTGGGCAGAAGGGCCAACAGAGTGGGAGTGTGCACTTAAGGCACATTCTTCTCATTCTTAAGCAATCTTTATACATCCAAAAACTTTTACAAAAGCCCAACCCCAAAATGTTAATACTGAAAAATATCTATCTTGCATAAAATACTTACAAAAACTAAACATGAATAAATATTCTTACACTGCATATGTTGTGCCATAACCCAGTTGTGGAGCAGCCTGTAGTTTTCTACAGACCCCTTTACCATTTCTACCAACAAGTCGTAAGCAGCAGCCCTTGAAGAATGTGACTTGCATTTTGGCTGTTGTTTATCTTTTAGACTTGGCAGCAAAAACAGAAGATTGAAGATGTCTCTTAGAAACTCCTGTAAAACAATTCAATCAGTAGGTATATCAGTTTGTACAAATATTAAAAACACTGTTATATAATTGTATATCGTTTCAAACTTTCTAGGAGGCTTCCTCCATCAGATAAAAACAATTTTAATGTCCTATAGATAAATTTTGGACTGCAGACTTTGACAGTGTCTCCTTTACACCATTCTCTGTATATTATATAACATACCAAAAAGCAGTCTTCAAGTAATTTGAAGAGAAGCATTGTAAATGTGTTACGCTACCATGATGGAAAGATAAATATGTCCACCAAAAAAAGTTAACACAAATTATCTGTAGCTCTAGCACAGCACTGCTATTTGGCATAAGAAACCAGAAAAGAATTAATGAAGACTACCAAACATCCATAATTGAGTTACATTCAGGTTTAAGTAAGACTTAAAGATTACTCATGTTATGTAACATTGCCAATCTAAAACATTACTATTCCTACAAATCATATTAACATAATAGGTCATGTATATTATACCAGAAACAACTGTTATCATAACACTATGAAATTAATACACTTCACAGTTCTGTACAATTCTTTTCTTTTTCTTTGTAAATTTATTAAACTATAAAGAAAGAAAGAAATACTGATGTTACACATGAAATACACATACTACACAAGCGATGATCAACAGAATTTCTGATATAAAAAGATTGGGTAAAATACAAGTCAATGACTAAACTTCTATTGACTTTAGTGAGTCAGGATTTCACCCAGGGTATTTTAGTTTATACTGACAAAACTATCCAGGTACACCTTTTAAGTGTCTTTGAAAAGGTCAGTTTCACCCATTACTATTTATCCATAAAAGTCATGTATTATCAGTCTGTGTTTTAATGTTCACATACTAAAATTGATTTTAAGTGTTCCACTGCTATAGATTCAGGTTTTTTTAAATTATGATTTTAATGACAAATGCTGTATATTAAATATTGCTCCATGAACAAAGTGAATCCATGTTAAATGGACTAAAAAGAGAGCAAACAATGGCTGTTCCAAGTCATGTTGATATTGGGCAACAGATACACAAGTTGTAATTTGTTACCCACATTTGCTACACCAGATAAATATGACAAGAAATTGGGGGTGGAGGGTCCCTAAACTTATCCCTCTCCTGTTTTAGTCACATTAATTCAACAACATTAAAATAAAAAAAATAAAAAAACGTATTACAAGCCCTAATAAGATGACCAATTTTTTCCAAAAATTACACCACTTTCTAAATATGTAGTAGGGAGTAATAAGTAGGAGGGAAGGTTGTGTGCAGAAGGTTTAAGTAGCAAGGGAGGAGTGGAGGCTTTTTTTTGCAAATAGCAAGAAACAGGTTGAGAATGCTTATTAACGGGAAGGGGGAGAGAGTAGAGCTAAAACGGCTGACAGCTGGTATGAGACAGGCTGAGTGTGCTTATCACAGGATAGGTTGAAAAGTTGGCTAACGTGTTAAAAATACACTTTGTAAACCACAAATGCTTGCAGCCAGGAATAAATATTTAGGTAGTGTCTGCACTAGCCTTTACAAATGTGTTACCTGCCTGGCAATTAATTAGCTTCAGGTAAAAAAAAAAAAAATCTAGTGTAGATATACAGTTAGGAAGGAGAGAGGAGAAGTAAACAAACACATTGAGCTCTAGTCTACACTACAAAGTTATGTCAATGTAAGTCACCTTGTGTCAACCTGTTTGTGCATGTCTATACTCAAATGTGTCTCCCGCAGATGTAAATGCCCAGTTAAAGCAATGCAATAATATCTCTCCAAATGGCTTTGAGCCATGGTCAACCTACTGTGATCAATGCAACCCAAGCGTAGACACTGCAACATATGTCGACCCTAACAGTTCCCCAGCAGTTGTCCCACAATGCCCAACACTGACCACTCTGGTCACAACAGTGAACTCCACCACCCAGGCATCACAGAGACCTGAAGCCACCCTGCCGCTTTAAAACTCCTGTGTATTTTTGAAGTGCCTTTTCCCAAATGCCCAGCTTAGCAAGCACACCTAGTTCTCTTCCTTGCTGTGTTGCAACTGCCCAACCAGACCAGTGGAGAGAAGAGGCTGTGCAGGCACAGCTATGGACCAGTCTTAGAAACGTGGACATCTATGAAAGATTGCACATGGGATGCAGGTGAAGGGGTATGACAGGATCAGGAGCACTGCTAAGTGAAAGTGAAGGCACTGCAGCAGGCATACTACACATGGCCACAGAGGCCAACAGTTCACCTGGCGACGAGGCACAAACTGCCACTTGTACAGAGAGCTGCATGCCATACTTATCAGAGATCCCACCAGTACCCCGCAGACGACCCTGGATACCTCAGTGTACGGCAAGATGGAGACCCGTCCAGCTATGCCATGAGCCCAGATCTTTTCGAGACTCCATGACAATCTAGTCAGCCAAGCATGGACAAACCCAATCCAGGAAAAGAAGTCTCTGTGTGTGCATGCATTCTCCCTTAAAATTTTTAAAAGTGAAGACGGCAACCAGCTCAACACCAGGCTATCAGGACACAGATACCTATTGTTAATTGTTTTACTTCTACAAAAAGAGGTAGAGGTACAACAAACAAAGCAAGAGTTGTTATTAGGTTTTCGTTTCCCTGTAGGGTTAAGGAGGCGACCAAGTGCAGTAGTTTGCTTATGTACATAGTATATTCCTTGCATCTTCCTGAGAGATCTTGATGAAACTTTCATAGGGGTAACTCTGCAATCCTTTCTTGATGGTTTCTAGGGATGGCTGCCTTATTCCTTCCTCTCAGGTAGGACACTTTCCTACGCCACTTCATAATGACTTCAGCAGGCACCATTGCACTAAAGAGACTAGCAGCATAAGGGCCTGGGCAGCTCAGGACGCAAGCTGCTTTCTGTGCCTCTGTGACCCTCAAGAGTGAAATATCAATTAAAATCACCACTGTCTGCAGAAAATAGTGCCAGTAATCAGTGCCATTACCCTGTACTTGTATCTATGGAAACAGATGCCAACATTTTATTGTTTTATACACTGAACAGTTCCCTTATTTCCCCCAGCCCTCACCCAGGCAGGGCATCTTCACCATGGCTGCGGCTGGAGAGCAGTGTTGTGCAGAAGTGCTCCAAAGCTTAAGTGTCAATAAGCATATCTTAATTAAAACTTTTATGAGTAAAAGGGAAGGGAGCTTTGTGTAAGCTCAAAAGCTTGACTCTCTCACCAGCAGAAGTTTGCCCAATAAAAGATATTATCTCACTCACTTTGTCTCTCTAACAGTTGGTGTATGTTTGGCTGAAATGGACTAAAATGGACACAAATGTTTTCCACCATTCTAATTTTAAAATGCTGTTCTGTTAAGTTTTGTAAGTTTGCACTGTATTGGTTTTTAATTGCACATTATTTTTGCACTTTGTTTGGTACAAAATCCATTTTTATTTTTTGGAAATAAATTCATCTTTGTTACTTCGTAATATCAACCGCAGAACGCCTAGCGCTACTCAAAACACAGAACCAAACCAGGACCACAGAACACGTAGATTCAGTGACAGTGTAATAATTATAAAAATACAGTAAGCACCATAGAATTGATAGGTTCATTTAAAGACCTGATATTCAGAATTGTACACCAAGCACTACACAATTCCTAACACCCTCCCCCCTAAATTTCCAAGCCAGGTAGAGCAATGTCCAGCACATTATTGTGGCTGACCATTAAAGTGGTCTTTTGAGGCCTCCCTCATCCGCACAGCTCTGCGCTGAACTCTTCTAATAGCCCTTTTGTCTGGTTGTTCAAAGTCAGCAGACACCACTCCACCCCGGTGGCAACTTTTTCCCCTTTGCCTCACAGATATTATGCAGAACACAGCAGACAGCTATAACCACTGGGATATTCTTTTCACTGAGATCTGACCTAGTGAGTAAAAACTGACCTCATCCCTTCAATCTACTGAAAGCACACTCAACTGTCATTCTGCACCTCTTGAGTCAATAGCTGAATCTTTCCTTGGAGCTGTCAAGGTTACCATATATGGCTTCATGAGCCCCAGGGAACATGGGGTAGGCTGGGTCCTCCAGGACCACTACTGGCATTTCAATGTAGTCAATGGTAATCCCCAATTGGGAAAAAAAACTTCCGTGCTTTCAGCTTCTTGAACAGTCCTGTGTTTGTAAAGATGTGAGCATTGTGCACCTTCTCTGATTAGCCCACACTGATATCAGTGAATCATCCCCAGTGAGCCACCAATGTTGCATAACCATAGGAAAAATAGCCCTTTCTGTTGATGTACTCTGTGGCGAGGTGGGCTAAGGTGAAAATAGGGATGTGCATGCCTTGAATCACCCCACTGCAGTTCAAGAACCCCACAGCTGCAAATCCATCCACAACCACCAGCACATTACCTAGAGCAGTGGTTCTCAACCCGTGACCCAATCAGTACACAGCTGCAGCCCATGTGACATCCTCAGGGCCATACAGGTAGTATATATATTGTGTGGATGCGGTTCACATAAGACAGAGAGCTGCATATGAGGCTCACAATAGTAAATAGGTTGAGACCCACTGGCGTAGATGCTTCCTACATCAATGGAAAGGGTTTTTCTTGCAATGCAGGTAATTCACGTCTCCAAGAGGCAGTAGCTAGGTCGATGGAAGAATCCTTCTGTCCACCTAGCCGTGTCTACACCAGGGATTAGGTCGACCTAAATACAGTGCTCACGGCGGAAAATATTTCACAGCCCTGAGTGACATAGCTAGGTTGACCTCAGTTTTAGGTGTGGAGTGGGGCTAAATAAATGGATCTTGCAAAAGAGACCTTCTCAGGGTTTGTGAGGGACTTAATTTTCTTCTAATTTGTTGATAAAGCACAGGACACCCACACAGATGTTACATGTCCACTGCTACAGTCTATAGACTGTAGTAACTAACTAATCCCCAGATACGGGAGGCTTTGGTCAGTGACTTATTCCACTAAGTATGGCGCCTGCTACAGCACTAACAACATTACAAAGATTTCTCCCCAGAAATCTTCTAGTCAGATAGCCACATCCTGATCTCTAAAAAGTACACTGAGTGAGATCTTCTATAGGTCAATGTACTTAACCAATGATATTCAGGACCTTTTCATTCTTCAAAAATCCATTTTAGTAAGAATACTGGAATACATGGTTTCTTGGAGTTAAATCCTATTATTCTGACACCAATAGGAGAGTTTGTCCAAACTCTTGCACAAGCAAAAAGGGTGTAAGTTCTGCAGGAGGCTACGAGAGGAATATACCACCTTGCCACTCAATAGCCAAGTCATCAGGCTCAGGTAGTCTGAATAGGAAAGCCTACCTCTCTCACACACTTGAGTACATGAAAGAAGACATTGGAATTTTTTTTCTTTTGAGAGGGATGGGGCCAAGGGTGGGAATTTGTGGAGATTTTTCAAAAATTCTCGATAGGTGAGGGTGACCTGCCTGCTGAATCCTACATGTTGAAGACCACAGTTCTACCATTGCAGAGTAGTTTCTGCAGGAGTCTCGCTGCTGTGTAAAGATGGAGAGCTGTCAGCATCTGAGCCACTTCCCACTGAGTAACAAGGGTCTATAGGGCAGGGTAGTAGTGGGACGTCTACCCTTTTGTAACTTGCAACTATTGGCCTTTTGCCCACGCTATTTTATTGATTCTGCCATGCTGGAAGAGAGGAGGAGAGGAGCTTGGCAGGTGCTCCTATTCAAGAAACAATGACAAAAAATGGACATACCTTCACTAGAATAAAAGATGCATTTTTAAAATGTTCGCTATTGTGTTCAAAATACACCTTTCTTCCTAGTGTAGATATGATGAACATAGTCTCCTAGAAGAAGGAAGGCAAAGGAGCAAAAGTACCATTCGCTGCTGCCCCAGAACTTGATTTTTAAAAGATTGGTAATAACAGATAAGGTAGCAGCACCAAACCATCACTTTGTTTGCATGGACAAAGAGAGAATCTGAAGTGAAGTGGAAAAGGAGTGGCCACATCTCAGAATCCACTGGACAAGACTGAGCTGCTGTCAATATTTTTCAAAGAGAGAGAGAGTCCAAATGTATCACTCTGGAGAAAAGTTTATGATCAAGCAATCCTGCTCCATTCTGTTTCATGGTACTTAAAAGGGAAACTGTCCATTTGTTTCACACCAACACAGTGAAATAAATAGACACAGGCTATTTTATAATAGGCAAATCAAATAGTAAATTATAACATTTTAAATAGTTTTTTTTTAAATTATATTGGGTCAAGACTTATTTTCAAATAATCTGTTGGGACCCTGGTCTTTAAGCAAAAACAAAATTCTGCTTTAAAAATCATCTGTTGTGGCTGCTGCTCTGACCACATTCAGCTCTTCTTCAAATCCCGTTATTGGCTTCCCCTCAACATACATATAGCTAAGGTCCTTCTCTTTAGCTTCAAGGCTCTGCACAATTTTACTGCTCTCTCCTTGTTTTCTTTTAGTCCTCTCCTCACTCCTTTGTTTTACCCAACCTGCAGAACTGTGCCTTCTGTGTCCTCCTCCTTCCCATCTTCTCTCTGTACTGTCTTCCAAACTGCACTTTATGCCTTGAATTCCCACCCTGACCTGGTTTTCAACTTCTTTTCCTTCAGATCTCTCCTTAAATCACACTTTTCCCAAGAGGCCCATAAACTGTAGTCTTCTCAAAGTATTGTTAGCAAAATGAACCACAAAAAACCCCAAAACCACATAAATTCATTATAACAAAATTTGTTCTAATGAGAAGTACTAAATTAAACTCCTTAGTTACTTGTTTTTTTACCTATGCTATCCTCCCATCCTTCAACTATCTGCTGTCTATTTAGACCGTACTATCCTGATGGGACAGATCTATCTTATAACTCATTTATAACACAAGTATCACACGTATGAGATTACATTAATAAGTAGAAATACTGTTATTACTGAAAACTAGTATTACATTAGTGAATGCCCAAGTTAGAAAGAGATTATTATACATTCAGATAATAAAATTACCAGGAGGCATTTTATGTTTGTAAATTAGAAAAGGGGACTTTGAGCTAGCCAAATAGGATTAAATGCAGTCACATATATGGGTCTAATTATTGACTGAAACCTCATCATGGACTTGATCCAAAGCCTAGTGAACTCAATGGAAAGACTCTCACTGATTTCAATGAGCTTTAGATTTGCAGGTCTCATGTTTCATACGTGACTCTGTACATCGCTTCCATAGCCAGACCAAAAGTTTGAACAAATCACTGAAGAGTAGAGCAAAAGTTGTGCGCACGAGCTTTGCTTTTTTATTTTAGGAATGGAATTCTCAGTCCCAACAAGCCAAGCTGCTATGCAAGCTGGTCATGGCCACAGGGAAGGATCACAAACGCAAGCCCACTGCTTCCTCAGCCCATGTAAGAGTTGGGCCCACTGCATCTGTGCAGCGCATAGATTCCCTGGTATTATTCCTGGCCTGTTCATAATGACATCTCATCAGCAGTTCTCCACAACATGTAGGGATGGAAAGAATGGTACAGGATTCTTGTGACAGGTGTCTGCTCCTGTCCATGTGTGCAAGTGACTTTAAAGCTACTTTAGGATCTTCTACAGGTGCATGGGATGCCCCAGGATTTGGCCAAGGAAAAACAGGTATCAAATATTTTGTAAGAACTTGGAAAAAGCTGAGCAGCCCTGAAAATGCTTTGAGATAATCAAAGATATAAATAATACATACATACATACATAAAGGATCTGCAAGAGACAAGAATTTTGTTCTGAGGTTAAAAATGGCTAGAAAGAGAGGTGTGTGTGTGTGTAAAATACACATTGTATTGCTGTTTTTTAAAATAAAATAATCCAATTAGGAAAATGTGTTTCTGTCAATCATCATATGACAAAGGAACAGTATTTATGCAACCCCTACACTCAAGAGAGTAAAACAAAACTTAAAATGAAGCAGTTTACAGTAACAGGAGGTAACGTTAGCTATTTGGCATTTTCCAAGTACTTTATTCTTACCTGTCCTTCCCGGGAAAATTTAAAAGGTGGTTTGTGTTTAATAACACTCGTTGCAAGCCGCAGGAGCCCTGTAAGACCATCATCTTCTATGTTACCATCTTGATGATCAAGGATTTCTCTGCTATACAAAAAAAAATTAAGCTCTATATGTCCCATTAAGAATACATAAAATACAAACTTTAAAATAAAATTAACATCACCAAATCTTACCTTCGAATGCAGTCAGCGAGGTGTCTTGCTAGGGCATCTAAATCAAGCAGTGTTGTCTGAATTAAAAATAAAGGAAAATGGAATACCAATACAAAATAATCATACATTTTATACACTCTTGGTTGATTCACCAACCAAATTAAATAACCTTAGTTTGCAGCTAAGCTTTGATTTACTTGAGATGTGTGTTGCTGTGGGTGCTCCACTTTAGGTGAGCATGCACTCTGCACTTCCGATTGAAGATTTTTGGTAGCAAAGCCTGTTCAACTCATGCATGTACCCTACACATCCTCGTGCCCCATACCAAGGCTATATAACGCTGTGCAGGTGAACTGCTCTCAGTTCTTCTCTACCACAAAGTCCCACAGAGGAAACTCCAAAGTAGAGGGGAAGGAGGATGGGTAGTGGAGCACCCACAGGGACACACATTTTGAAGAACTCCAGTTACTGCACAAGATAAGTAACCTCTCCTTCTTAGAGTAGTGTCCCTGTGGATGCTCCACTTCAGGTGACTCCACAGCAGTAACCCACCTAAGGAGGTGGCAGGTTCAGAACAGAGTCCAGCACTGAAGAAAGAACTGCGATGCCTACTGCAGCATCCAATCTAGCAGCGTGAACCGATGCATAATGGCTGGGGAAAAAAATACACTGAGCTCCACGTTGCAACTTCGGACATTTCAACAATTGCAACATCTTTGAGTAGGGCTACAGACAGACTATGATCTAATAGAATGCGCAGTTACTAGTAGGGGAGGCTGAGTATCAGTGAAAACACAGGAGGCAATAACGCACCCAGAGATCCATTTAGAAAATCTGTGTGTGTAACCTCCATTTTTGGAGGTTACATGCCTCCTGTAGATTCCTTCCTGCTATTTAAAAGCACATTTTGTACTGCTAGTGAACATGACTCCTCCTGTCCTGAGAACCACTGAGGGACCAGGCGTGGAACTGCAGAACATTCAGGTCATGGTGAAGCATCTGAAATGGATCCTGAGACAACAGTTGAGAATTGATTGGCATAGAAGGCAACAAGTGATTGTGATGAGATAAGGAAACCAAACTTGTCTTGGCTAAGTTGGTGCAATCAAAGTTACACTGGCTTGGTCCTGATTGATCTTGTTGAGATCCTTTAAAAACAATGGAGTAGTGGATATGCATAAAAAAGATCCCTTGTCCATGTAATAAGAATGGCATCTCCTAGAGATTGGGAATTGAGTCCTCCTCTGGAAGTTCTCCTCTGCAGAATTTCCTGCACTTCATGTTGGCTCCAGTGGCAAAAAAATGAACCTCTGGAAATCTCCATGCTAGGAATATTTTGTTGAGGACTCGAAAGTCCAACTCCCATTTATAATTTAGGGGGGAAATGTCTGCTGGTCATCTGCCAAGATGTTTTGTATATCGGAAGGTAAGAAGCTGAAATGAGTGACTTGTTTTTGATTACGGGAAGAGTGTAGCACCAAGCTTTTCTGACCACTCTTAACTCTAGCAGATTGATGTGCAAGCGTTGTTCTTGTGACCATTTGCCTTGGGCTGTGTGAGGACCCACATGTGCTCTCCATCCCAAGAGGGAAATGTACAATGTTATCAGGACCATGGGGGGACTCTGCATAAATGGGATTTCTGCACAAACCTTTAAGAAGGATTCTTCCACCAGATGAGTGGCTGAAGGACCCAGCTGGGTACAGGTACCTCCTTGTTCAGACTGTGTTTGTTGGGTACACAAACTGTCCTGAGCCACCGCTGGAGACAGCAAAGATGTAACCTGGAGTTTTGTGTTACAAAAAACACAAACTGCCATAAGCACTAGCAGTTGCAGACATGTCCCTATTGGAACTTGTGAACTGAGCTGAGTCCTTTGGATAAGGTTTTTCAGAGTGAGGAACCTGTCAGGAGGGAGATAAGCCCTGCCCATCACCAAATCCAAAAATGCTCCTATAAAAAGGATAGGGGTCAAGGTTGATTTCTCATTTATTTGTAGGCCTAAACTGTGGAACAGTGAAGTTGTTGTTGAACTGCTGACTGCACTTCCTGATGATATCAGCATTTGAGGAGCCACTCATCAAGGTAGAGAAACACTGTTTTCCAAGATGTTGGTGGTGGGCAGCTATGACCACCATGATTCTTGAGAAAAACCCGTGGGACAGAAGGAAGGCTGAACAGTAGGACCCAGTACTGGTAGTGATTGTGATCAAATGTGAAATGGATGAATTGCAATGGGGAAGTAGGCATGTTTGAGGTCGAGAGTTGCAAACCAGTCCCTGGACTCTAGGGAGGAAATTATAGCTACCAGGGACATTGACTGCACTGCACCATTACGCAGGGAGGGGAGGAGGGAGCAGTTGTCCAGCTTGCCGGGGGGAGAGGGAATAGCACTTTATGGCCAGGAGTGGGGGAGCGAGGCTCAGAAGCTGCTGCAAAAGGGGGAGTGGGTCAGTGTGGCAATGCTGACTCATCTCCAGTGACCGGAGGCTGGGAAGTTCAAAACACGAAAAAAGCCCCTTTTTCCCAGACCAGGCAGAGCTGCACCCACCCTCCTTTCCCTTAATGTGGCAAAAAATACAAGTTTTAGTCAGGACCTGCTGTGGGCTTTGCGCTAGCCATTCCTTTATAGGGAAGCTGGGAAGGAATTTTTTCCTCACCACCAGATTTGGCTTAGGTGGAAAGGGAGGGGAGTTAGGCTATGATGTTGCAACTCATTATGTAAGTCTGGGGCAGATGTCCAGTGCAGGTACTCTATAGAGAAAATATACAGGGACTGGATAAATGACTCGGTAAAGGACTTAAAAAGGAGATGCTTGTTAAAGGAGCGAAGGGGGGGGGGGAAGGCTGGGGCTTCTATGACTGTTAAGGCAGAGAGCTAACCCCCTCTTCTTATACTCCACCTTACCCCTTGTTCGGGGGTGGGTGGTAAGGTCCCAGCAATGGGTTGGCTACAGGACTTGGATGGAAAAAGGAGGCGGCTGTCAGAAGGGTAGATATTGAATGAAAATGGCGATATCTGACCTGTACACTTTTATCTGTCGGGTAGTCCCGGACACCTAATAATAAAGTTGCAGCCTGATTAAAACCATATCAAGTGTCTACTGCCCTTCTTTTGGTATAGTTGGACAATGTCCTGATTTTCAGATGTCTGACATACTTGTTCAATTGTCTGAAATCTAGTAAAGACCTCCAACACCATTTTTCTTCGGTATCAAAAAATATTTTGAATAGAACTCTTTGCCTCTGTGTTGAGTTGGAACTGGTTTTACGGTCCCTAGACTTAGGAGCACTGTCATCTCCTGTCTCAGCAATTGATTGAGAGGGGTTCCTGAAGAGGGATGGGGAAGGGAGGTAGAAGGACAGGATGCAGGTAAACTAGATAGTATAACCCAAAGTAATGGCCTTCAATACCCATTTGTCTGATGGCATAGCCTCCCATGCTTGCTTCCATACAGCTAAGAAACTCTATTGAGTGACAAGCTTCATTAGGTCCTTGAATTGCCAAAAGTCATCAGTGGTGGCATTACTACCTCGATGATGAGGAACATCATAATGTGAAGCCTCATCACATAATGATGAGGAAGCAATATTTGTAAATGCGGTCACTTCCTTTTCTGTCCTTGCCTCTTGCTCCTCAAATATGTCCTCTGCTGATTCAGAGTGGAGGGAGAGATGGACAATACCAGAGAATGAGGTCTTCTATGTTCCTTATGAGACTGAATCAGGGCCCCTCTAAATTGCTGGCAGTACATTGCCCAGAGGTCCCAATAAGGCCAATGAGCAGGATCATAATTAAGGCTATGATTTAGTCACTGAGGTTGTGGAAGTCATGGAATTCATGACTTCCAGTGACCTCCATGACTTCAGCGGTCGGGAGCTGCAGGGTCCCCCGCCACTGGCAGGGGCCGGGAGCTGCAGGGTATCCCCACCGCCTCTAGCGGTCCCCACATCTCCCGGCCAGTGTGGGCAGTGGGGTACCCCACAGCTCCCGGCTCCCGCGGATGGTGGAGAACCCCTGAGCTCGTTTGCAGCGGTGGGGGAACCCCCAAGATCCCGGCCACCGGCGGAACCCCTGAGAGGCCGGCCGCCAGGGGCGGCAGGATGGAGGAATCCCCGAGATCCCAGGCAGTGGTGGCAGGCGAACCTCTAAGCTCGCGGTCCTAGCGGGCCTCAGGAGCTGCAGGCGGCAGGGGTACCCCGCAGCTTCCAGCCCCTGTGGGCGGTGGGAGAACCCCCGAGTGCCCCGCCACCGCAAGCCCCCTGAGCTGCGGGCAGTGAGGGTACCCCGCAGTTCCTGGCTGACACAGGAGCCAGGAGTATCCCACAGCTCCCAGCCCCCATGGACAGCTGCAGGCGGCTCCTCAACCCTGCGCAGCTGCCCCACTTCAGGCGTATGGGGACCCACTGAGCCTCATTTTGTCCCTGATATGTTTAGTAAAAGTCACTGACAGGTCACGGCTTCCGTTAATTTTTCTTTTTTGCCTGTGACCTTTCCGTGACTTTCACTAAAAATATCCATGACAAAATCTTAGCCTTAATCATAAGTCATAGCGCAAGGTATAGATCACTGGTCATCCCAAGTGTTAACAGGCAGAGGTCTGGTATCCTGACTTTTTGCATCTGCAGAGGAGAATGTCTCCTGGAGTAAACTGAACAGACCTGAAGCGGAAGTCTTGCTCCAGTGTAGGCCCCTGTGCCTCTAATCAGAGATTTTAGGTAGCTGTGTCATTCGGCCCACATATGCGCTCGCTCTCCCTCCCTTGTGGTGTGCCTTGAGATTACCTAGCACTAACTGGGGGGTGAATCACCCCCATTTTCTTCTCTACTGCAGAGTCCCATCTTGAGAGCTCTGAAGTAGAGAGGAGGAGGATGGGTTGTGGAGTACCCATAGGGACACATATCTCGAAGAACCATCGTTACTGTACGAGTTGAGTAACTTCCTCCTCTTCAAGTAGTGTCTCTATAAGTGTTCCACTGTAGGAGACTTCACAGCAGTATCCCCCATTGGGAAGCTGGAGCTTCATAGTGGAGTCTGTTATTGCAGAGAGCACAGTGGAGCTGAAGATGGCATTGTAGACTGAGGCTCCAGTGATCACATAATGTTCCGTGAAAGTATGGGCACAGAAGTCCAAGTTGCTGCTCTGCAAATTTCCGAGATAGGGACATCTTTAAGGAATGTGACCGAGGTAGAGATCAGTGTGGAGTGCATATGGATTCCAGATGGAAGGGACAGGTTGCGCCCTTGATAAGAGTGATGAATGCAACCGGAGACCCATCTGGATAATCTTGGAGCTGATATTTAGGAGTCTTTGGATCTTTCCACTAAGGAGAGGAAGAGCTTAGGAGACTTTCTGAAGTCCTTAGCCCTGTCCCAGTAAAATGTCTAACATCTCATGTGCAAAATCACCTCCCTGCTGTCACAATGTGTGTTCAGGAAAAAACCTGGAAGATGGATTTATTGATTCAAATGAAAGGCAGAGGCCACTTTAGGGAGAAAGCTGAGATGCAATCTCAGTATTACTTTGTAATAAGTCTTTAAAAAGACCGTGAATGGTGGATGTGCTATCAAGGCTGCTATTTCTCCTACGCATCTAGCTGAAGTGATGGCAATCAAAAATGCTGTCTTCATGGACAGGTGTAAGAGTCCGCTCGGACCGGTTCTATTGCCCGTAGGCATAACAGATTATCTAAGCAGGTTCTCATGAGAAGGGTCCCTGAAGAGGGACAGGGAAGGAGGAATGGAGAAGGGATGTGAACTGAATGGTGTAGCCCTCGAAAATAAATCTCTAAAACCCATCTGTTAGAGGTTACATTCTCCCAACTGCTGTAAAAGAAAGTCAGGCAATTTCCGAAGGGCAGGTGAGTAGATGGTAGTGGATGTTGAAAGACATGGTTGTTCGGGTCCTCAACCAACCTGTCAAAAGTGCTTAGAAGAAGCAGTCAGAGTTCATGGATTTTGGTGCTGACAGCTTCAGCTTTTATATCCTGGGCCTCTTTTGCTGCGGCTCATAATAGCATTGTGATAGTGGGTATTGGGAAGTGATCTGTGTTGCAGTTGAGAGCCATATTGCTTCTCTTTTGTTCCACAGTTTAGATACCCAGGGAGCGCAACCTGGCATGGGAATCCTTCAGGGTGTGGAGAGAGGCATCAGGGTTTTATCAGCGAAGAGCTTGGGCCCTTCGAACAGGAGATCCTCAACTGTTGTATGCATCTCTTTTGGCAACCAGGTATAACCAGGAAGCCTGCCTCATTACCACAGCCATGGAGACCAAAGCCATGGAGACCAAATGGGCTGAGGTGTCCAATGCTGTCTGTAGCGCAGTTCTGGCCACTAATTGGCCCTTGCTGACAATGGCCTGAAACTGCTCTTTTTGCACCTCCAGTAAATGTAGAAACAATGCCCTGAGTTTCCCATAATTAATAAAATCATATTTGGCCATGACAGCTTAATAATTTGCGACCCTGAACAGTAATGTCTCTGACTAAAATGCCTTCCTACCAAAGAGAGCCAGTCTTTTCCAATCTCAATCATATGGGTTGACTTAATATGATGTTGTTTGCCCCATGTATTAACCATGTCTATTACAATCGAGTTGAGGGTGTTGGGAGGGATGTAATATTTCTTGTCAGCTCTCTTGCACATCAGTGCAATGCAGGGTGGTGACTGTCAGATGACTTTGGCTGGATCTAGAATCGCCTTGTTAATGGGGAGGGCGATTCTGGATGAGGAGGAAGTATGTGGGCTATCAACCAGTTTGTGATGAGTATCTGCCACCTCC